ATTTGTTTAATCTCTAGCTCAGATAGTGGAGCAAATAAGAGTTGTTTATGTGTATCATCTAATTGGGGCAAGTTAATTTTATTTTAAGAAGTCTATCTTCATTCAGTACATCCTCTGGTTTACTATATAATTCTGAATAAAATTTAAAAATTGACAATATCCATTGAAGATTTATACATTTTTTAAAATTTAAAAATTGACAATATCCATTGAAGTTTTATACATTTTGTCTCTTTCACTTCTAATGATTGGAATCATTGCCCCCCCCCCTTTTTTCTCTAAACAGTTATCCAAGATCTTACCGGGTCTTTCGCCGTTCTCCCAGTATATCTCTGTTGTAAACATGCTAGCATAAATTCTGTCTGCTGTGATATTATCATAGTTAATTCATATTTCTTTTTCTGTATTTCTCTGTACAATACTGTAAATGGGCATCTAACCGTCTGTGCCATAGATGTTTCAATTCATCTTCCAAATTATTTCCCTTTTTATTTTTAAACTTATTTTTATGTGATGCATAAGCATTAATCCTACCTCTAGTGTATGCTTTATATGCTTCCCATTCAAAAATTTGGGCACTTGATGTTTCTGAATTCAAATCAAAATATTGTAAAGTCTCTACTTGCATTTGTTGTACAAAGGGAAACATTAAGATAACCAATTTCTTGATACTGTAACCAGTTTCTGAAACACACATTTCAAAGTAATTGCACTATGATCAGATACATAACAAACATCAAAGTTACATTCTTGAATTTAAGGTTGATGATATTAAAAAATAAGCCTAAAAAAATTCTGATGTACATTTGAATAAAATGTATATTTTCTTTTAGTTGAATACATCAAACACCAGGGGTCTACTAAATTCAGCTCTTCCATATAAATCTTAATTGTTTCCCTCACTAATGATTGTTTTTTTCATGCCAGTGTATTTCTATGAAGCTTAGGATTCAATATTTCATTAAAATCTCCTCCTATTATCAGTTTATCACAAATATACTCATTCAAGTGTTGAAAACATTCATAAAATATAATAGGTCCATAAACATTTACCATAGCTATTGCAGTCTTGCCTATTTTTGGCACACAAAATTAAATAATGCCCATTTACATCAGTAATAACTTGTACATCAATTGGGAATCCTTTTCGAACGAGAATGACCACATCTTTAACTTTCATCGAAGTATCTGTAAGGTAAACCTGTCCCATACAATGTTTCATTAATACAAATATATCCTGTTCCATTAAATGAGTCTCTTGTAGATAAGCAATATCTGCCCTTAACAATTTTAAATATACTAAGATAGTATTTTGTTTCTTGGATTCTCGTAACCCTTTTACATTTCTCGTAACTAACTTCATTGATAAATTTTATTTTGGCCCACTTATCAATATTCTTTCAGTACAATTTCATTTTATGATCTGTACCATTTAACAAATACAGTGGTACCTCGGTTCATGAACTTAATGAACTAATTACGGTTAATCCGTTCTGAACCATATGTTTGTTTGTTTTTCAAACCACAAAAATATGACGCAAAGTA